AAAGACTAAATTTTTGTTTTTTTGTTTGTTTTCAGTACGATCACGACTGGATGGAATTTTTATCAAAACGTTTAATTGATAAAATAACTGAGAAATTACCCTGCGTTGTTAGAAACGGCGATCCAAATTCAACTTATCCAGGATGTGTCAATTTATCGTTTGCTTACGTCGAAGGTAAGTAATAATCATTATTATTATTATTATCATCTTCATCGTTAAGGAAGATAAATAAAAAAAATACAAAAATGAGAGTTTAATATAAATTTTATTAATAATATACATAACATTTTTATTTATAGGTGAATCGTTGTTGATGGCGATGAAAGACGTTGCTTTGTCCAGCGGTTCAGCATGCACGTCAGCATCATTGGAACCATCGTACGTATTAAGAGCCATCGGAGCCGATGAAGATTTAGCACATTCATCAATACGATTCGGTTTGGGAAGGTTCACGACCATAGAAGAAGTTGATTACACGGCTGAAAAATGCATCAAACACGTTCAAAGGCTTAGAGAAATGAGGTTTGATAGAATACATATAGTGAAGATTGAGAGAAGAGATTGAATGAGAGAAGAGTGTGTGAGTGAGTGAGAGAAAAGATTGAATGAGAGAAGAGTGTGTGAGTGAGTAAGAGAAGAGAGAATGAGAGAGGAGCGCGAGAGAGTACGCAAGGGGGGGCACGCGAGAGCGCGAGTTAGGACGCGAAAGGGTACGCGAGGGGGGGCACGCGAGAGCGCGAGTTAAGACGCGAGGGGGTACGCGAGAGCGCGAGTTAGGACGCGAAAGGGTACGCGAGAGCGCGAGTTAGGACGCGAGGGGGGGCACGCGAGAGCGCGAGTTAGGACGCGAAAGGGTACGCGAGAGAGTACGCGAGGGGGTACGCAAGAGCGTACCCCATAGCGCGAGGGGGGGCACGCGAGAGCGCGAGTTAAGACGCGAGGGGGCACGCGAGAGCGCGAGCTAAGACGCGAGGGGGTACCCGAAAGCGCGAGGGGGGACGCGAGAGCGCGAGTTAGGACGCGAAAGGGTACGCGAGAGAGTACGCGAGGGGGGGCACGCGAGAGCGCGAGAGAGTACGCGAGGGGGGGCACGCGAGAGCGCGAGAGAGTACGCGAGGGGGGGCACGCGAGAGCGCGAGAGAGTACGCGAGGGGGTACGCAAGAGCGTACCCCATAGCGCGAGGGGGGGCACGCGAGAGCGCGAGTTAGGACGCGAGGGGGGGCACGCGAGAGCGCGAGTTAGGACGCGAGGGGGGGCACGCGAGAGAGTACGCGAGGGGGGGCACGCGAGAGCGCGAGAGAGTACGCGAGGGGGTACGCAAGAGCGTACCCCATAGCGCGAGGGGGGGCACGCGAGAGCGCGAGTTAAGACGCGAGGGGGTACGCGAGAGCGTACCCCCTAGCGCGAGGGGGGACGCGAGGGGGGCACGCGAGAGCGCGAGTTAAGACGCGAAAGGGTACGCGAGAGAGTACGCGAGGGGGGGCACGCGAGAGCGCGAGAGAGTACGCGAGGGGGTACGCAAGAGCGCGAGTTAGGACGCGAAAGGGTACGCGAGAGAGTACGCGAGGGGGTACGCAAGAGCGTACCCCATAGCGCGAGGGGGGGGCACGCGAGAGCGCGAGGGGGGACGCGAGAGCGTACGCGAGAGCGCGAGTTAGACGGGGAGGGGGTACGCAAGAGCGTACCCCATAGCGCGAGGGGGGGCACGCGAGAGCGCGAGTTAAGACGCGAGGGGGCACGCGAGAGCGCGAGCTAAGACGCGAGGGGGTACCCGAAAGCGCGAGGAGGGGGCACGCGAGAGCGCGAGTTAGGACGCGAGAGGGTACGCGAGTGGGTACCCGAAAGTGCGAGGAGGGGGCACTCGAGTTCGCGAGAGGGGATACGCGAGTACGCGAGAGCGCGAGAGAGTACCCGAAAGCGCGAAAGAGTACGCGAGGGGGTACGCGAGAGCGCGAGTTAGTACCCGAAAGCGCGAGGGGGGCACGCGAGAGCGCGAGTTAGGACGCGAGAGGGTACGCAAGAGCGTACCCCATAGCGCGAGGGGGGGGCACGCGAGAGCGCGAGGGGGGACGCGAGAGCGTACCCGAAAGCGCGAGGGGGCACGCGAGTTCGCGAGAGGGTACCCGAGAGCGCGAGTGGATACGCGAGTACGCGAGGGAGTGCGCGAGAGCGCGAGAGAGTTCGCGAGAGGGTACGCGAGGGGGTACCCTAGAGCGCGAGAGAGTACGCGAGTGGGTACGCGAGAGCGCGAGAGAGTACGCGAGAGCGCGAGAGAGTTCGCGAGAGGGTACCCGAGAGCGCGAGTACGCGAGGGGGTACCCTAGAGCGCGAGAGAGTACGCGAGTGGGTACCCGAGAGCGCGAGGAGGGGGCACGCGAGAGCGCGAGTGAGGACGCGAAAGGGTACGCGAGAGAGTACGCGAGGGGGTACGCGAGAGGGTACCCGAGAGCGCGAGTTAGGACGCGAGGGGGGCACGCGAGAGCGTACCCGAGAGCGCGAGGGGGGGGCACGCGAGAGCGCGAGTTAGGACGCGAGGGAGGACGCGAGAGCGCGAGTGGGTATGCGGGCACGCGAGAGCGCGAGTGGATACGCGAGAGAGTACGCGAGGGGGGGCACGCGAGTTCGCGAGAGGGTACCCGAGAGCGCGAGAGAGTACGCGAGGGGTACCCGAGAGCGCGAGGGGGGGGCACGCGAGAGCGCGAGTTAGGACGCGAAAGGGTACCCGAGAGCGCGAGTTAGGACGCGAGGGGGGCACGCGAGAGCGCGAGTTAGGACGCGAAAGGGTACGCGAGAGAGTACGCGAGGGGGTACGCGAGAGCGTACCCGAGAGCGCGAGGGGGGGGCACGCGAGAGCGCGAGTTAGGACGCGAAAGGGTACGCGAGAGAGTACGCGAGGGGGTACGCGAGAGGGTACCCGAGAGCGCGAGTTAGGACGCGAGGGGGGCACGCGAGAGCGTACCCGAGAGCGCGAGGGGGGGGACGCGAGAGCGCGAGTGAGGACGCGAGTGGGTACGCGAGAGCGCGAGAGGGCACGCGAGAGCGCGAGTGGATACGCGAGAGAGTACGCGAGGGGGGGCACGCGAGTACGCGAGAGGGTACGCGAGAGCGCGAGTTAGGACGCGAGGAGGGTGAGAGCGCGAGTGAGGGCGCGGGTGGCTGAGTAAGGGGGAAGAGGGAGGGAGGAGGGAGAGAGAGAGAGATGAATCCCGTTAACCTATCTTCTGACTTCCTTTCACTTCTCATCTCGCATTTTTCCTATTTGAATCTCAAGCGTTCAGTTTTACCTCTTCTTTTCATATCCAATGCCTCGAAACGGTGTCCTTTCGTAGATACAGGTCTCTTCTTGTTTTGAACGAGCTGAAATTGAACCCACGACTCTCAACTTGGTGGCAACCTCTGGCTCCCCCGATGTATCCAAGATGAGGGGCGTCCACTAGGGACGCCCCCCTTCAACGTGGAAAATCCAGTCCGAGATCCTCCGACCCTGAAACTCAAATCAAAACATCCCTTAATATCTACCCTTCGAGTAGTTGTATTACAGTAGTACACTCTCGCTACCTCCCTCCTCCTCCCCCCCCCCGTTAAGATAATTATTTATTATTAAAACGAGTTGAAAATTAATTGATTGAAATTTTTTTTTTTTTTTAGTCCTCTTTGGGAAATGTATCAAGAAGGAATCGATTTAAAATCAATAAAATGGACTCAACATTGAAGAGACGCGAGCTTACGGAAAATTTATTTTTAAATGAAAATTGTCGTCGTCGTTGTTTTCGTTCGTTTTTTTTTTTTTTGGCAATTTTTCAATGCGAAAAAGGGGTTTACGCGAAAGAGTTACCAAAGGAGTCATATATTCCCAGATATCTAAATTATTATTATTATTATTATTATATTCCCGGTACACGAATATTTTTTTACGTTTATATACGGAAGAAAAATTTGGCCGGTGAACGCGTTTGAGAGAGAGAGAGAGAGAGAGAGAGAGAAGAGAGTTTATATTCGTTTATATTATATAAAAAAAATGAAGTGACGAATTAATTGTATATTTTTTTTTTTTTTCCCCCGATTCCAATAAATAAATATTTTAAATAAATAAAAAATTGTTTTTATTTTATTTTTCCTTTTCATTTACGCAAAAGATTATTATCATTATTATTATTATTATTATTATTATTATTATTATTAAACGCTTCTGGGAATGGAATCCGCGTCGCGACGTCTATTTTTAATTCACCTTCAAAATTATTTTTAATTTTAATTTTTTTTTTTTCTAAATTTAATAATTAATTAATCCGACCGTCACGATAATTTATCTTCCGGGGGGCGGGGGGGAGGAGGGAGTTTGCGAGAGTTTTAGTTTGAAAATCAAATTCAACCCCCCCCTCTAGAGTCAGAACCATCAGGTTCACACTCGCGAGGGTGGGAGTCTTACCTGACAAAGATCTCGGTTTTCCTCTTTTGTTCTTCTAGAGACAATGCTGACCATCTGTTACCATCTGCCTCTTCTGCGTAGTCTTCGAGTATCTGGGAAATCTTGTTTATCTGTCTTTTTTTCACATTTGAATCAAGTACCCAGTACGAACAAGGGTGGCGCATCTCCATTGACTCGATAGGTATAGGTTTGGTCTTGTTTTGGACGATCTGAAATTGAATTCCCACGACTCTGAATTCGGTGATCCTATTTCTACTCAATCTTTTTTTTTTGTGATATCTCGGGAGAAATGCGTATTTACGCACTAAACCCTCCGAAGAGGGAGTGTGGGGCTCGGTATGGAATGAAAAGCCTAACTGGGGGACCTGTAACCACTAAAACTTCTGAGCATGTTGCAATAGCGTGGCTTGTATAAAGAGGGGCGGGGACGTTCATTGGGGTAGAGCCTACATTTCAGTCATTCCTTTTCGGTAAGCCAGAAAGTTAACCGTTAGTTTGGGAGGAGATTCGCCCTAGTGTCAGTTCCGTCGTCACCTCGGAGACGAAAACGCATCCCTCAGGACGTTCGGCAGTCCCTTTCGGGAGTGTTCTCCGGTCCTTCGCACGGGGGGGGGAAATGGACGGGAAACACGCCTGTTCCTGAGGATGCGATCGGGGAGGAGGATAAAGACTCTCCGTCGGCACTTGTAAAGGGTAAAAGTTAAAAGGCAAGTTTTAGTTGATCGCATCCTCTCGTATGATAAAACGGGATTGATTTGGAAAAGATAGACGAAGGATCGACCGGGGTCGCCGATCCCCCAAGAATTGTTAAAAAGAAGTGAAAAAGTACTTACCGACGGCAAATTTGGAGAGAGGAGTCGGCATTGGATCTTCTCGCGGTCCTTCCGCTTGCTGAGACGATGAAACCAGACATCCGATCTTATTTTTTTTGAAAGAACAAATGCCGGGGTTCACGTCGTTTACCCCCGGGGATTGGTTGGGTACAGGTCTGTTAAGAAACATCCGCTGCACCCGGCTTCCAAGTAGCTGGATTACAGGAGCACGCCACTACTCCCAGCCCCAATTTATACTCAACCTGTCAACCTCGGGCTCTCCCGAAGCATCCTAACTGAAGACTCACTTCTAGCAGACGCCTAGAGCAAAGAACATTACAAACGAGATTTGCACCGTTTAGGGGAGTGTTACTAAGACTATTAAAGACCGTCGGCAATTGGTTTAAGAAGTTTAGAACCGGTAATTTCGATTAGCAATACGAAGACCGCAGGGGCCACCTGATGCGGACCTTATGAAGAGTGTACTATATAGTGTGCGGTACGAGGTAGGGGATGACACTAACATTTCCAATACAACGATACATAAGCATTTAATCAAGATGGGATAGGAAAATCGGTAGGAAGTTTAAATTCCACGCCTACGAACGATGGCCAACCCCATGAGCCGCGCCTCTACTTGCGATTTGCTTCTTCAGCGACATGAAAGAAATCCTTTCTTAGAGTCTTGCCACTGGACGACGAACCTTGGATTTTCCATCAAAATGTACCTGGATCCATTTGGTCGGACTGGAAAGGTGTTGCGTACCACAAGCTCCTTCCTCAAGTTGAACCTGATGTATCTTTCGAATCCGTAAGCGACATAAGACCTCACTTTGATTAATATTTTTCCAGTAGGACTCAACAATTATCCCTTCCGGCTTATCCATGGAATCTCGTCTAATCCGGATAATCTATTAATCTATTAATCTCTATTAAAATTTCGATTGAATTTATTCGTTGATAAAACAAAAAAAAAAAAAAAAAAAAAAGATAAAAATTCAATCAACTTTATTTATTTATTATTTTTTGACTTTTGATTTGTTTTTTTTTTTCTTATTTAAAAAAAAAAAATAATAATAATAATAATAATAATAATAATGATAAAAACTGAAATTAATTAAACTTTTAAATTCACAAACGGAAATAAAAATAAAAAAAATAATAATAATAAAAATAAAAATTTTTTTTTTTTTGTTTTTCTTCCTTTCTTTTTTTATTTACTCTATGGATTATGTTTTTTTGGCGGTTTTTCGTTTTTGTTTTATATATATATAAACGTGTGCCTCGGCTAAAATAAACACTTTCTCTCTCTCTCTCTTCCCCTCTCTCTGTCTCTCTTCCTCTCTTTATACTTCTCTTTTCCCCCCCCCCCCCCGATTTTATTTTATTTAAACGTCGAATCCCCTTTTCTTTTCCCTTTTTTCCTTTTTTTTTTTTACGTTTTTCTCGGGATCGTCGGCATGAGGAGTTGCATGGCCGTCAATGCATCCGGAAAATGACTGTGGTAATTTAAAAGTGGTACATAAGCGGCTGTTATTATTCTACCGGCGAACCAACGACCGTGAAGTGAATTAACGGATGCGACGGCCGTCGCGATTGTCGGACATTTAACGTACACGTTACCGTTCGATGTTTTATCGACGTAAACGTGCAAAACTCCGCCATGTTTATTGCACTCTTCGATTACGTCATCACGGATTTCAACGTCCCACGTCGGATTCGTTTCCCTGTCGATCAATAAATTTAATTAATTAATTAATTAATCAATAAAAGGTCAAAGTCGTTGTAAGAGTAAATAAATCCCCTTTCGGGGGGTATTTGTACTCACGTGGCCGGATCGAACATGTTGGCTAACATGAAACATTGTGTCGCTATCGGAGGTGCGGGTTGAACAGCTTGAGGTAAAGCGTTTGCTAAATTTAAGGCAGTTGCCGCTGCTGGAGGGATTTGCATTCCTGTTCCTTATCAATCAAAACAATTACAAATCCCCGCCGCCCCCCACATAAAAAAAAAAAAAAAAAACAAATTTTTTTAAATATCATTCGGAAAATGAAAATTAAAAAATTTTCCGACATAACTTTTCCATACCTTCAGCTAATTTGTACATTAATTGTAGCCTTCCGGTGGCTCCTAAATCGATTCCCGATCTATCCAATTCATCCGTGTCGAGTATGGACGTTCCAGCAATGTTGTCCGTTCTTTCTTGAACGTTTCCGACTTTCATTGGTCTTCCGGCTAATTCGAAACCGTTTAATTGTTCTAAAGCCTTTTTAGCATCGTCGGCACTGTGGAACTGCAAGGGGAAAGGCAGATTCAATCGCAATGTTATATCATTCGACGGAATAATCAGAAACGGAAGCAGAAGAAAAAAAAAGAAAACTCACTGTTATAAAACCATATCCTTTCGAACGTCCCGTTTCCGGATCCATAATTAATTGAATGCTATCGATTTTTCCAAAAGGTTCGAATATGCCTCTCAACATGTCTTCGGTTATGTTAAAATGAAGGGATCCGACGTATAATCTCATGGGTCCCCTCATGTCTGAAGGCATCATCATGGGTGCCGTAGAATTTCCTTGCCTGTTTTTTTCTGCTTGAGTGGGTTGTACTGAAATCGGAATCCCCAAAAGTTTTTGACCGGTTAATCCCATAGCCTAAAAAAAAAAAAAAAACGGAGGAAAAATTATTTTTTTAAAAAATTCCGCGCGCCATTTTCTTTTTTCTTTTTTCATTTCCGATCGTATTTACCAATGGAACGGATTCCGGGTCTTTAAATTCCACGTAGGCGATTCCTTTGAATCTCCTCGTTTTGTTACACGTGATTAATTTGACGTCACGAACTTTTCCTACCGAACTGAAAAATTCTTCTAAATCCCTACCACGAATCCTTTGAGACAACTGCATGCAAAAAACCGTTCTTTGATCTCTTTCCTCTGGCGTGAGGTCATCGATTGGTAATTTGCTACTTCAGGGGAGAGAGAGAGAGAGAGAGAGAAAAAGAGAAAAGAAAAAAATTTAATCACACAAAAAAAAAAAACCAAAATAATAATAATAATAATAATAATAATGATAAAACTTACAAAGTTGGAGATTTCCTGTACGAAGCATATTTTTTATAAGCATATTCATTATTTAACAAATGTGGAGCTAAATTGTTGGGCGAAATCGATCTCCTTCGACTCCTGTACCTGTCTCTTTCTCTGCTGTAACGATCCCTTTCCCGACTGTGTCTATCCCTGTCTCTGCTCCGTCGATCTCTATCCTTGCTGTAACGATCCCGATCCCTGCTGTGACGATTCCTATCTCTTTCCCTACTACTGTGACGATCCCTTTCGCGACTGTGACGATCCCTATCTCTTTCCCTACTACTGTGCCTGTCTTTATCCCGACTGTGTCTACTTCGACTACATATTAAAGAAATATGTTATAACATAAAAATTAAAATAAATAAATGATTTCCCTTATTTTTCAGTCCATACCTGTTTCTACTTCTTTTGTCGTGCTTATCCCTGTCCCTCTTACTTCTTTTTTCGTGGTCTCTTGAATGAGATCGGTCTCTTTTGCTTCTGCAAAAAAACAAAACATCAGCATCAGCATTAATCATCACAAAATTTATCAAAACAACAGGAAAAGATTAAAAATCAACCAACGAACAAACCTTTTTTCTCTGTCTTTATCTCTATCTCTACTCCTGTCACGAGGCCGTTCTTTGTCTTTTCCATTTTGACATTCCTTTCCGGTTTTATTGGGTTCCTACGAATAGCCAAATTGAGGATTGCAATCACATGAAGAATCACACCGTAGTGACGAAGAGCGAAAAAAACAAAATGGAAGACGTAAAAATGTTAGTATACGTTTTATAAATATAATTTTAAGGTTTTTTTTTTTTTTTGATTTTACAAGGGCGAACCTGAAAGTTTTTGTTGTCGTTGTTGTTGTTGTTGCTGTTGGGATTTTTTTTTTTTTTTTTTTATCATTTGGCATGTAGTAGTAATAATAATGATAATAAATAAATAAATAAAATAAATAAATAAATAAAAAAAAAAGTAGAAAAAAACTTTCTCATATCGATGATAATGATAATAACACGCGGCCAAACAATAAAAAAAAAAAAAAATAATAATAATAATGTCCGGGTATATAAATAAGTAAATAAATAAATAATTTTTTTTTCTCCTCCTCCTCAACGTTTTGCTGTGATTATTATTATTATTATCATTTCTTTTTCTTTCTTTCTTTTCGTGTGTATCAATATTATTGATCATTTTTTTTTTTTTTTGTCCTCCGCCAACCCCATCATTATTACACACACATTTTTTGGAGGATGGATGGATATAGTGTCAGTCAGTGATTGAGTGAGACAGAGAGAGAGAGAGAGCGAGCGAGCAAACGAGCTAGCGATCGAACGAACGAAAAAGAGAGAGAGAGAGAGAGAGAGCGAAAGACTCGACCCAACTTACCTAGTTTCAACACGACATGATATCGATATTATGAAATGCTACGCTAGGTCGACACGTCAAGAGGCTTTAAACTTCTGTAAGAGAGACAGTCTTTCAATCTTCTATACAACCAGAGATATTATATATATATATATACATATATATATTTTTATATTTATACTTTTAATCATTTTACACACACACATATATATATATATATATATACATATATAATATTTATACAAAAAAAAAAAAAAAAAAAAATGTCTCAGGCCTAATAAGGTATTGGGATCATATATAAATAAATAATAATAATAATAATAGTAGTAAAAAAATGAGAAACGTTTCCTAATCGATAATTCGAAAGACTCGATAAATATCAATTAATAATTTTCTTTTTCGTGTCTTTCTATCTATTGACTACATACACACGCACCCGCACACGTGCAAACACACGTGCACACACACACACACACACACACAACAAAAAATTTTTAGTTTAAGAAACGTTTCTCATCGTTAACAACAACCCAATCCATTAACGTCATCATCAATACGATTCGGATAATCACGAGAAAATGATAGAGAGAGAGAGAGATAGACAAATAGAAAGAGAGTAAGAGTGAGAGTGAGAGAAAAAGAAAGAAAAAAAAATCCTTAGTTAGTAATTCTTCTTCATCGATCGTATTAATAATAATAATAATAAGTATTATTATTATTATTATTATTATTGTTTTAATGGGAAATTATTTAGTAACTTGCGTTTCAATTACCTGTCGGTGGTGTTGCAAGAAAAAAAATTTTTTTTTTTGCAAAAGAAATTCCTATAAAAAAAAAAAAAAAAAAAAAAACAAAAACAAAAAAAAAAAAAAAAATAAATGTAAAGAGTACCTGAAGAGGTTCACAAAGAAAAACCTCTCAAACAGTTTTTTTTATAACAACATAATGCGACACAACTTTTATACCTAGAAAATAAAAATTTTTCCTTTTTCCTTTTTTTCTTCCCTATTTCAAAGATGCATCCATTAATTTCTGTTTCCATACACACCCTTCCCCCCCCCCCTTCTCCCCTCCCACTTACAACTCATATTAAATTGTTTAAATAAACAAATATTAAACAATTTAATTAATTAATTAATGGATACATCTTAGATATTTTAAAAAAAAAAAAAAAAAAAAAAAGAAAAAAAAAAAAAAATTGTAATAGTAAAGAAAATTTAGGAAAAGCAAAATGAAAATAAATAAATAAATAAATAAATAAATAATAATAATAATAGAAATTAATAATATGATGACAGAATGAATCAGTACTGTAGAAGTCCATGGACTGTCTTGGAACTTGATAGTTAATTTCTTCAGGTGCAGTAACCAAGCAGCCATTCCTGTGTTCATCTCATTGTTCCTAAGCAACAGAAGGGCATTTTTTCAGAATTTTTAATATCACACAAAATTAAATTTTTTTTTTCTTTTTTTTTTTTTCAAAAAAAAATTATTATTATTATTATTATTATTTTTTAAAAAAAAAATAACAACTTTTGCCACTTTTAAACGACATACCTTCTTTATTTATTTCTAAACGGTTCATTCTTTCAAAATTTCTCTTTGCTCGTTCATAATAATTATTATAATAATTATTATTATTATTATTATTACTTTTTTTTTATATTTTATTTAAATTTTATATATATTTAATTTTTGTAAACGGTGAGTGTGTGTGTGTTTGGTCACTTTCGGATGACTTTTTATTTATTTATTTTTGTAAAAATTTAAAATCAAATTAACCCCCTATAAATAAATAATAACTCATATACACATATTGTCCATGTTTGTTTGTTTGTTTGTACTTTTTTTTAAGAATTTTTTTTTTGTGATAATTTTTATTTCACCAACAATCATCTGCAACATTTCATAACTTTTTTTATAAATTCACATTTTTAAACAAAAAAAAATAAATAAAAATAAAATAAAACACAATTTTTTTAAATAAAAGATGTTACAGTCGATTTTATCGTTTATTATTTTATCTCATTACAAAACATTCGACACAACATGAAATTGTTAAATAAACAATTTTTATGTTATTCGAGTGTACCTGTTTCATAGTTTCTCTATTAAAAACACATTCGATAAAAAAAAATTAGAAATCGATTGATTAATAATAATAATTATCGATAAGAGAAAAAAACAAACCCCCCAATTCCGAAAAGGCATCATTTACACATTTTCAATTTCTTTACAAATAAATAAATAATTATTCATCACAAAAAAAAATTCATAAAGTGTAAATAATTAATTTAAAAAGTGGCTTACATGATACAAAATTAAATTTAATTAACGTACCTTTCTTGCAATAAATTTTTTTAAAAAAAAAAAATAATTATTTTGGTTTTAAATTGTTTTTTTTTTTATTAATTTTTGGACGATTGTAGATAGATTGTGATAGGATATAAACTACACATTATTCCCAAGACATATATATATATAAAAAAAAAAAAAAACATACAAAAAAAAAAATAATAAAAAATAAAAAAATAAAAATAAAAGCAAAATTAAATAAATTTATGTAAATGTTAATAATAATAAAAAAAAGAGAAAAAAAAAGATTAAATACCCACCTCCTTATGCTTTTGAAAAGGCGCTTCCAGCATGGCTTCTACATCTAAATCCTCTGTCATTCTGTAAAATTAAATTATTTTATTTTATTTTTAAATGCTTATGCTTTTCTTTTAATTAAAGTTATCGATTATGTATAATTTATTAATCAAAAACACAAAAAAAAAAAAAAATTCAAATCAAATTTTAAATAAGCGTGCATTGAAGCCTACACTCTAAGAAGATTACGATTGAAATGAATGACATGATACGACCGAAATTTGATGTTACGCCATAATTAAATTTAATAACATTATTTATTTATTTTTTTTTCATACGATCACACGTTAAAATAATTATTAATAATAATAAAATAAAATATTTATTACTAATGTAGAAATGCACGGAATGAAACGCGACCCGAAAATGAGAGCGCAAAAAAAAAAAAAAAAAAAAAAAATCCACTTACGTTGTAAATGAATGTTATAATAGTCACTAATAACAGAACAATTATGTTTCTGTTTCCATAAATTCAAATATCAAAGCCTAATTATTTTATACCTAGACATAATAAATATATAATAAAATATAAATACAATAAAACTTCTTTAAGAAGTACTTTTATGATGTTAAAAAAAAAAATATATATATATGTGTGTGTGTGTCTGTCTCCTAGCCTCACTGAAATAATATAACGAGTAAAAACAAAATGGCGGCGTCATTTTTTGAAACCGTTAGTCGTTGCAGTGTTTGAAATGACGACAAAATCCAAAGTAAATATTTATCAAACGAAAATTTGATTATTATTTTAATTAATAAATAATTAAAATAATTTTTTATTAATAATTAATTAAATAAAATCAATTTAAATGAAATTAATTTTTTTCCCCCTACGGAAACTGAATACATTAACGTTGTCAATGTCAAGTTTGAATTAAAAAAAAAAAAAAAAATTTATTTTCAAATGAATAAATAGAAAGTGAATTATTTATTATTATTAGAATAAAAATATTTCGTTATAATTAATAAAGTTATTTTAATTTATGATATTAATAAAATTTAACCAATTTCATATTGTGCTAATTTGTGCCATTCATTATTTTTCCAATAATTATTTATTTTATATAATTATCAATTATAATTAACGTTCGCCATATATTCTTATCTTAATAATATTAAATAAAAAATGATATTTATTAATTATTGTTATTAATGATGATGATAATTATTATTGGTTTTCTGATTCACGAACTAAACCCAATTGATGTCATTATTAAAAAGCTTACCTAAAGTTTTATTTACTTACATTTTCATTTTAAACTGAATGTTAATAATAATTCATCTTCATAAAAAACTCTCTCTCCAAAAAGATAAAACTTGAGAAAGCAATAAAATTTTGTTTAAAATGATAATAATAATAATATGTTTTTATTTCAATCATGGAGTTTAAAGTGGAATAAAAAGAAAAATATATAAATTGGTAATTATCTCTTGCTTTGATTATGAAAATGGTAAAAAGTTATAAAGTGCACAAAAGACGAGAACTGAAAAACTCAATCGATTAAACAAACTCGATAAACAAACAAACAAACAGAAGAAAAAGGTAAAATTTTTTACTTAAAATAATGTATATGTTTTATTAATAAATAATTATATAAAAATCAGTTAGGTTCTAAGTACAATTCACACGACAACAACAATAATAATAATAATAATAAATACATATTATTATTGAATTCACTTTTCATTGCTAATTCAAATTCTCTACATACAATATTACTAAACCTAAAAAAAACTTTTCTTTCTTTCGAAGGTACATTTATAACATTAAAAATATTAATAATAATAATAATAATTTACTTATAATTAATGGCAGTGATGTGTTTTTTTTTTTTTTTTTTTTTTCATTTAAAAAGTGTAACTACAATTAGAACAACAAAAAAATGAAAATGAAAATATGGCTAGTAGTGAGTCGATTGTTTATTTTATCACATAAATGTGTTAAAGTTTTTTTTATTATTCCATCGTTTATTAATTAATGATAATGATAATCATTTAATTATGGAATTTTCCAGTTTCCAATTCTTTATAGCAAACAGAGACCTTAGAATTACATACACATATATATATATATATATTATTAAAAATATAATTTAAAACTTGGTAACAACACGATTTCAGTATAAAAAAAAATAAATTAAAAACAATCGAGAGAGAAAAAAAAAAAGAGTTAATTACCTGCATTTGATAATAATAATAATAATAATACCTAATTATTATTTGTAATGATTATTATTTGCTGGACAAGAACCGATCAAAACGTTATGACGAATTTTAACATGTGTAAAATCTATTGTCTTATCACCAATGACGACATTTCTCATGCATCCTTTAAAATTATCTCTCGTTTCCAGGAGGGGTTTCCCACTCGACGTTAATCTTTCTGGAAGGCCTCCTATGTACACTGGAGCCGTTGTCGTTATCGGTACGTTTAAACAATCGTATTCGTCACGAGTGAAATTATATTTAACATCCGTTTGATCGATTCTCATTGTGAGTTGATCGTTTTCCAACATTGTGTGTATCCTGTGCCATTTGTTATCGCAAACAACGTATTCCGACATGAATTCGTGTACTAATTTGAATTTAACGGTCGACGACGCGTCGACAACGGAAAATATAACCTGTACGAATACCATCATCATCATCATCATCATCGTAAACCTTTTTTTTTAATTTTTTATTCTATTTTATTTAAATTATAATTTTAAAAAATGACAGAACAAACCTTTCCGTTATTTATTTCCAAAGAAACGGCGGGTTGATCAGTAAAATCTGAAAAACTTATCAATATCCCGCTCATTTCCGACGTGCGAAATTCAATTTCAATCGATATTAACGATTCCAAGGTCAAATTTTTTCCCGCTAAAAATAAATAAAAACAATGAAAACAAAACGCGAAACGGTTAATGCCGAGAAAACGTTTGTGCGAGTGAGCCCGCCAAAAACAAAAGAATGACGTAAGCATAAATGGAAGGGGTAAGTCTATCGGTGAATGTTTCTGAAACAGTTTCAAAACCTTCACACTCACTCACCGTACGCTATAAAGGCGTCACCCGAATAATAGGATCCTTTTTCAACGTTGGGAAAACATTGACCGACTCCTTGATGAAGTGAATTTTCACCAATTAAATCTTCCGTTTGATTATTTATTTTAAAATTTTTAACGCATCCCGTGAATCCCGGTTGTTTCGAAACCTTCGACAAACGAAAAACAGAAATTAAAATCCTCATTTATCATATTAAAATTAATTTAAATAATAATAATAATAATGATAATTACGAATGAATCCACGGGACCGTGTTCGGACGTTCCACCGATGAATATCGAATGATCCAAATTTAACCTTTTCGGAAGTTTTAATTTCATTTGTTCGGATTTGTTAATTAAAACGTTTAATTTTTTATCGATTCGTTTTAATAAAACCTGGGAAAAATTATTAATAATAATAATAATAATTTTGTTTTTCGTGGGGGGTCAATGAAAATTTCAATCACTCACCGTTTGCCACGTTCCGTTATTCATTTTCGATTCCGATAAAATTTCTAATTTTTTTTTAGCTTTCACGACGATTTGAAAATGTCCATTTTTAAACAGGGATAAAAGAAAATGTTTTTGTTTTCCGCCTTTGTTGGATCCCTGGAAAATAAATAAACAAAAAAATTTTCCCGTGACGTTTTTTTTTTTTAATTAAAATGAGGAGACAATTAGGATATTTACCGGTACGAAAAATAATAAACCGTTCGGATGAAATGTTCTCAAATCGATTTGAATTGTGAAATTTTTCTGGAAAATTCCACGTCTCCTCATGTGTAATTGAATATAAGAATTTAAAGAATCTCCCAATTTGGCTCCCCTCGGATCCAATGCGTATTTACGAGATCTATAACATTGATAATGATTTTGCGGTGGTAACTTTGTCATTTCCGGAAAAGTCATGTTATCGACGTTTTCCGGTCCCAATCTTCCGATATCGACTCCTTTTGCAAATAACGGTTTATCGAACGAGTGCAAACTTTAAAAAAAAAAAAAAGGAAATTAATTCGATCTCATCGATTTTGTTGTTGTTTTCAGGTACGAAAAAAAAAATTTTTTTTCTTACGCGTTGTTAAAAAGCAAATCTTTGATCGTTCCGACGAAAGGTGTCGTGTCCGATACGTATATCGAACCGTCAATTTTTTCCGGAAGTCCACCCAAATATAAATCTTTTGCTTTGACCGTTATCGCACCCTCTGGTAAAGCAGAAGACGATTGTAATTCGTCATCGACTCTAAGTTCGAGTTTTCTACCCATTTTAACGACTCTTATCGAATGAAATCTTCCATCGTTGCAAAGTTTTTGCGACACTAAAGTTATGACTCCGGTTCCCGCGTTTATTCTCACTTCCGCTCTACCCTCTACCAACGATACCGAATAATAACTTTCACGTTTTCTTTCTTCTCCCAACGATTTTCCCGTTTCAACATCGTTTGATATTATTTCGTTTTCGTAATTTTTACCGTCGTCTGCTGTTATTTTTTGTATGATACCATTTGCTAGAAGTACGATGGCGTTGGGTTGAAAGGTACGCAAAGCAAGTCCGAACGAGGAATCCTTTTTCAAACGCGTCGCTTCTAATTTTAAATAACCTTTACCGTGAAAACCCGAAGTTTTTAATACCTTCGAACAAATAAACAAAAACCATTTCCCGTCTGTGAGAATAATGATGATGATGATAATAATAATAAATTCAAAAAGGATTTTAAATACCTTATCAGCACAAGAAGTTTCAACACCGTTTGTTTTACCCTTGAGCAAATTATAAATATCTTTTTCTATAAAAACATCCGACATGCATCCTAAAAAAGGTTGAGGTAAACGAAGGTTAAGAAAACCGAAATCGTAACCGGGTGGGAAACCCCCGACTAAATAATCAGCTGTTGCCAATTCGGGAATTTGGGATTGCATCGGAGGAGTCGGGGGTGCTGCTTCTTTCATTTCATCTTCGACTTTTAAAAGTCCTGCGCGGAAACAAACAAAAATGACATCATCCTCGGATTATTTTCGTGGTAGGAGATTATGAAAAAAAAAAGGGGGCACTCGAACCTTTTTCTATGATTCTTCTCCTGTCGAAATTTCTACTCGCTTCCACCGTCGTCCAATTACCATCGTTGAATTTTTTCGTGCTGCTCATTTCCAATTGCGATTCGCCACCGTAACCGATTTGAAAAACGACTCTTCCATCTCTGAGTGTTAACGACGCGTATCGAGACTGTTTTAAAAATTAACGACGTGACGTCACTCGAGTAATAAAATAAAATGGGGGGCAAGGGGGCGGGGGGCGAGGGGTAAAATTACCTTATCTGCACTCACGGCTAAAAACAATATGGAATTATCATCGTAGGTTTTAAATTTGAGAGCGACGCTAAATTGATACCTGTTGTAAATCGCTTTTGGCGCGTGTTTCAAAAGTGAATATCCTTTTCCGTTAAAATAATATATCGAACCGTCAACGACGCTATCGATTCTGCGACAGAAGATGATGATGATGATAATAATACCCGTCGAGTTTTCATTTTAAAAATGTTTTCCTACTTACCCTTTTTCGCATGCCGAACAACTGTTGGAATAATCCGTGTAATAATTCCATAGACCGATCGGTCTATCGTCCAAATTCAACGAATGCAAACATCCTGGAAGACCCTGTTGGAGTGATAATATTTCGGGGGGCCTATCGTAATTTTGTGGTAACCCCCCGATCCAAATTTCATCGTTCGAACTCACGTCCAACCTTCCGAAATTTGGATTCGACGAATTCGTCACGGGTTTCACGCTCGTGGATTCTTCCGTGTGAAGCCATAATTTTGCAGTGTGGCTAACCCTGTAAAAAAAAAAAAAAACGGAAACAATTGACGCACGAGTCAGAGCGACAACTTGACAAAAAAAAATTGATTGATTATCGCACCTTTCGACGATTATTTTAAACCATTTCGGTCCTTTTTTTTTAACACCGTGTAAAAGACTTTTCGATATGATTCCAGGTCCACCGCCGTTATCCCAAACGAATCTTATATTTCCATCAACTATTTCCAGCGCCATGAAATCAGACTGGAAAAAGGCATTTAAAATTTTTTTTAATCACAATTTCGGAATTTTTGAAAAAATATTAAACACTCACCGTCGTCATGCTGGGTAAAAAGAAAATCATCCTGTTGGATTGTATGGGATCGACGGTTAATGCAACAACCAAACGATTGGTTGTCGTCGGTTGTAAACCGGAAATTTTATACGATCTCACGCAACCTTTCGTAGAATTACTCGACAAAGACAAACGAATCTAAAAAAAATCACGTGATGACAATTAAATAAAATACCGTTAAAAACAAACGAGGAAAATTTTTACACTCACGCTTTCCGCTGCGTGTTTAGCTTCCGTTATTTTATTTTTTAATTTTCCCAAACCGTTTGTCAAATCCGACATTTTGAATTTTCTCATTTTATTCTCTTCGTTTGTTTTATTCACGTCTTTTAACAATTCAAAAATTTTACGATTTATTTTTAAACTATCCTCGACTAAAACAACAAAAAAAAAAAAAAAAAAAAATTAATTATTATTAACATTTCCGACGGAAGTTTAGTATTAAAAAAAAAAAAAAAGATGGCGGACTTTGTTTTTTAGAATTTTCCACATTGTTCGCATTTAATTTTTCATCCAGGTTCGACATTTTATTTTTCAAATCGTTTATCAATAATTTTTTCGCCGCCATCATTTCCACGGATTCATTAAGTTTATCATTTAATTTTTTAACGTTTTCCAATATGGATTCCACCGTACCTTAAACGTAAAAAAAAAAAAAAAAAAAAAAACTGATATTAAAACGGAAACGGAAATTCTGGAAAAAATTGAAATTCTAAAATCTTACTGGAATTATTTTCCAAATTATTTAATTCATCGGATAATTTATTATCGGATATTCCAGTTTGTCTAATTATATCTTCAACCATTTTAACAATTTCTTTTTCACGTTCCAGTTGAGTTTTTAAATTTATATTTTTTTCACCTTGACGACTTCCGGTGTTTTTCAAACGTGTCGATAATATTTTCAATATGTCTGATCTTTTCAATATGGATTCGTCGAATTCACGTGGAAATATCTAAATTTAATAAAAAGCGTTAATCGTTATAATTGAAACGAACAAACAAACAAACAAACGTTTGTTTGTTTGTTTGTTTGTTACCTTGTACATCAATTCGGAATTGACGGCTTCTTTTGCTGCTTTTTTTGCCGCTTCTAAATCTTTTATTATATCTTCGTATCTTTTGCTAGCCGTTAATGCCGAACTCGTGTCTTTCGTAGTCGCGTTAAACAATCTAAAATAATAATAATAATAATAATGTTGTATTTTCGGATTTCGTCTCGTTGCCGTTTCACTTATAAAAATCTTTTTTACTCTTTTAATTCCAGTGCTTTCGTCATAAGATTTTCCGCGTGATTTTGTGCGGGTTTAACGTATTTCGTCGCGTAAAGCGGATTTAAATTTTTCAATATCCCTTCTTTAGTTTTCAATACTTCCGTTAAATTTTTCAACTTCGGCAATGTTCGTGTTAAATTTTTTATCATTTCGTGGATTTCCGTGAGACGTGAATCCGCATCGAATAAAATATTTTCCGATTTTTTTTGCACGTCCTCGACTTCCTCTTCCAAATCTTTACTCGCGTGAATTAATTTTTTATTCAAATGTTTTATCTTGTGATGATTTTCCCCCGAGTATTTAAAAACCTGGGAAAAAAAAGGAGGAGACACAATTTGGGATCTATCGTCTCGTGCCACGTCACACCGAATCGATTTAAATACTTACCTTTCGCGTTGTTTCCCCGATTTTCCCCAAATATTTTTCCAAATCTTCGAGTTTTTCATTTAATAATTTCATATTTTCTTTCATTTCCCACATTTCCGGATATCTTTCCGTCATGTGCATCGTTGTATTTAAAACACCCGTGCACGTGTCTAATATCCGTTCGAACGTTTGTTTTTTCGACGGCAAACGACTTTTTTTTATACTTTCGAGCAAACGATTCCCTTCTTTCAATGCCGTCGTATCGTCATTGATAACGTTATCATCTCTTCCACGTGTGTAATGTTTTAAATTATCGATCGTGTTTTCCACGTCTTCTCTTAAATCTTTTATCCTTTTTAATAATAAATCGGATTCTTTTCTAGCGAATGATGCTTCGCTTTTTGCCGCCGTCGCTTTGCCGTCGATCGAATGTGCCTTGCGAAAAACGAAAAACCATTTTTAGAGAGAGAGAGAGAGAGAGAGGGGGGGGGAGAGGGAAAAGTTATTAAAATTAATTACCTTTAATATTAAATGTTTTGATTTTGTTTTTAAATTACCGGAAATGTTGCTTTCAATTATGTTATCTATATCCCGAATCGTGTTTCGCCATTCCCGTACATCGTTTTTAACGTTATTTAATTTTTTTTCTAGTTTTTTCAACGTTCCCCAGGGAGGTTGTAAATTTTTTATGTCGTGCCTTACTCTGTCGTTTAAATTTTTCGTTAAATTTTTAAAATCTTTTATCAACAGACCGGAACAATCGTCTTCGCAAACTGTTTAAAAAAAAGAAATTTACTTAAACGTGATGCGAGGGGATGGGGGTGGGGGGTGAGACAATTTCCGTTTAGTTACCGGAACATCCTTTTGGCGTCAGTACCATTTCCGTCGGACACACGGTACAATCTCTTCCTTCGATACCTGGCCTACAATTACACTGTCCTGTTTTTTCATCGCATTCATCGCTCACCGATCCGTAGATATTACACTCGCAAGGTTGACAAAATCCTCCGGTTCGTTCCGGATACCCAAACCATCCGTAGGCACATCTTGAAAATATCCACATTTCGTTAATGAAAAATTTTAAATGATGATAATAATAACGTGATTTTTTAGGAATTGCGTTCGTACCTGTCGCAAAATTTTCCACTGTAACCAGGTTTGCAATTACATATGGGTTCTCTTCCCGCGATCACGTGACAACTATCCGCAAAATTCCTATCGGGTTCGGGACAGGGACAACTCAAACAAGGACCGTAAAAAGGATCACCGTAAAAACCTTGTCCGCAACGTTCGCAATCCGGTCCGCCGGTATTATCCGAACAATTCTTCGGAGAGAAAAAAAATTATTATTATTATTATTTTTTAGTAAATTCGTAATCGACGAACTTATTTAATTTTCTCACCAGGCAAAAACCGGTTTCTATATCGCAGGTATCCGACCTGTTATTGCATTCGCAGGGTCTCGCTTCTCCGACTAATTGTATCAAAATGGTTGCCGTGTTAACTTCTTTATCGTACCACCTGTAAAAACCTATGCTCGGATCTTGACAAGAAGTCGAATTGTATTCCGGAGGACATTCACAAAGTTCAACACCTCCGGCAAGTGCCAATCCATTTGATGCGGCAGCCGTATCCAAACTAACATCTTTTAATCTAAAAAAAGAAAATTTTTTTAGTCACGGTTATAACCACTAACCTTTTCTATAACCACGACCGCTTTATTAAATCGTTACGTAATTATTATTATTAATATTAATTCCACCATAATAAAGTAATTAATTAACAAACCCACCCTCCTCCGATACCATTATCACCGTATCCTTAATCCCCGAAATCCCCGAAATCCCCAAATAATAATAATAATAAAATTCAAACTTACACCGCCTTCCTGAAATCCGCAGATTCCGATGCACGGATTAATACGTGTTGAATATTTTGCAGTGCGACCATGAGAATTTCTCTGGATACTTTTTTTTCCGGATGATATTTATCTTGCCAAAGGGATTCGTGTAATCTATAAGTAATAATAATAATAATAATAATAATAATGATTATATAATTTAAATATATAAAACGTTGTAAAGAAAAATTCAGGATTAAATTTTCTTTATTATCCTCATCATCATCATCATCATTTTTCGATTCATTTGCATTATAATCTTTCGATAATGAGAACGACGATGATGATGATGATGATAATAAAAAAAAAAAAAGGTACACGAACCTGACTTCGTAATGCCCGAATTTATTAGGCAATAAAGGGAAATGTTGCAAAACAATTTTACTATTTCCCTGAAGCTGTACGAGCGGATACGTTGATAAAACACTCGGAGGAAACAACGTGTTACCGCCTTCTGTTTCCACGTGAAATTTTAAATAACCTCCGTAGGAAAGAACCTAAAAAAATAAAAAATAAAAAAATTTAAATCTTTTGACTGTAATTTTATTATTATTATAAAAAAAAAAAACATGTTACTGGAATTGTTTCCATCTCTCTCTCTCTCTCTCTCTCTCTCTCTCTCTCTCTCTCACGACCTTTTTTTTTTTGGAATCTCACAAAATAAAATTGACGGACATACTTTTTTTTTATATTTATTTTGCAATTAAACTGGTCTGTATAAGAGAAAAAATTTACCTTGTCGCCTAAAAATTGTTTAGGAAGTTTCCAGTAAACTGGAGTATCTATTAAATAACTGATTCCTATTTTAACATCTTCCGTATCACCTGGAATGGTTCGAAGATTATTTGTTACATTTAATCCACCGTTGATGGTCACTTCTTCTCCTCCAGGAAATGCAAGCTGTAAATCAATTTTTTATATAAATTGTGTTGTAAAAATAATGTTTTCATCTCTCTCTCTCTCTCTTTCTTTCGTTACCAATCACATTAATAAAAAGATTATAAATAAATTTTCTCTCTCTCTCTCTCTCTCTCTCTCACACACTCTACACGATTTATAATATCGAATTTCGAGAGAGAAAAGAAAAATGTCGAGTTAAAAGTTATTTCGTGTTAAAATATTTTTCTTAATTGTATAATTTAAATTCTGGCAAAAAGATTTTCGTACAAACAAACAAACAAACGAACGAACGAACAAACGAACAAACGATAGAAAGAAGGAAAAAAAATGATGACAAAGAACATTTGTACGAACAAGGTTCGAATAGAAATATTATCATTAATCATTTGTATAAAATTTAAAATGAATTCCATTTGCGGCGTAATGGTAATAATAATGATAATGATAATGATAATAATGACAAAAATGAATAATTACGTAGTGTGTAATTTATTAAAAAAGGTAAACCACCAGATTTAAATGAAAGAAAATTGTTTGTTTGTTGCACGAGATTTTCAAATGGCAGGTGTTACGAATACTTACGTTTATGTAACATATTTGTTGTGAATCGATGGGTAATGAATTTTTAAATGGCGAACTTGGATCGTATTCGATTTTAACCGTTCTCGAACGTCCGGCTCGAATTTGACTCCAGTGAAGTCCGGATTGAGTGCATGATGCGGTTCGCCCGAAGCAAAAACAAGCAGTGCAACCGTTCGGATTATCTTCCTGTATTCCGAACGTACCGTTTTTACACGAATCGCATTTTTGACCAATGACGTTCGCCTTGCATTGACACTTGCCGCCATCGTCGTCGCACTCGCATCTTTTCGTTATTGGGTCGCACGTTTCGGATTTCGTACCGGCAAAATCACACTCGCACGATTTGCAAAATGGAAAATTATAAAAACCGTGATCGCAAGAATCGCAACGACTTCCCCGAAATCCTTTACGACACAAACATTCTCCCGTGTAAAAATCGCATTGACTTTTTTCCGAACCCCCCGAATCGCAATAACAAGGAGTGCATCCTTTGATTCCTTTGTGTCCCCACGAATTCGACACGCACGTTTGACAGTGTACTCCTTGCGTGTAGGGAGGACAAACGCATCTTCCCGTTTCCAAATCGCAAACGTGACCCGGAACCTTACATTCTTGACATTCTAAACAACCGTTTATTGAAAATCCGTAATGATTGGGTAAACACGAATCGCATTTTAATCCACCGATTCCAGGTTTGCACGTACATTGTCCCGTTTCGACATCGCATGATGGAGAAATAGAACCGATTACGTTGCAATCGCAAGGTCGACAACCATGACCGGAAGTGAGTCCCCAATGACGACTCTGAAAATTTTACAAAAACTCTTTAATAACCCTCGCCGCCATCTTTATTTTGGAGTACTATAAACGATAATTACCAAACATTGATCGCATGCTCTTCCAGTAACATTCGATTTGCATTTGCATTGTCCGGTAACAACATCGCAAGTCGTGTGGTCAGATCCTAAGGCATAACAACCGCAACCTGAAACAACAACAAATAATAATTTCCCTTTTTTAACGATTTAACAACCATCTTGGATTTTTAATGTATTTATTTCCAAAAAAAAAAAAAATTAAAATTTTACATAAGACGTGAGAAAAAATCAATAAATAGATACGAAAAAAAAATGTCGAACATTTACAAACGACAATTAATAAGTTTTAATAAACGTTACGACCTTGTGTCGTTTTCTACTACGTCCGACATTTTGTTTTTTCTAATTTTCTTTTATAACATTTTCCACATTTAATACGAGTTTGTACAGGTACGAAATCATTAATTAAGTTTTTCCTAACGCTAAAATTTTATGATTAAAATATTTCATTAAAAACGATTTACGTAACGATTTTAAAAAATTTTACGCGCCAAATCACAGCCTTGTTAAACAAAAGCATCGGAAAATCATAGAGTAAACAAATTTTAAATGAATAAGTTACAACAAAGGAAACACACGATTGATAAATTTGTTTATCTTCCTCTATGACTTATTTTTTCTACGGAAATATTATTTTTTTTTTTTTTAGGGAATTAAACGAACCGCCATTAAAAAAAAAAAAAAAAAACCGAAACATAAAAAAAAAAATCCGTTGCCAAATTAACAGAAAAAAAAAAAACTCGAATCTTTTAAATTGTTCACCATCATTGAAGCAATAAAAAAAAAAAATCTTCTATTTTTAACTTAGGTTTCATTTTTTTTTCTTCACTTTTTTGGAATTCCAAAAAAAAAAAAAACGCAATAAAAAAATTATTTTATTTCTTAGAGAGAGAGAGAGAGAGAGCAGTAAAAAAAAATCGTGAAAAGAAGTTTTTTTTTTTTTTAGAAAAGAAACAAAACAATACAAAATCATCGTTTAAAACTATTATTATTATTAGCGTGGGGGAAAACCGGAAATCGTATCGGAAACGATTAAATATTAACCCGGAAGTTATTGTCCAGATTTAGACATTTAATAATTTTATTCCTTTTCAATAATAAATCACAGCAAAAAAAAAAACCTGGAGCGGATGTCGTCATAATTCTGGAACACCGGTCACGTGGATATTTTGCTATTAAAATTCCGTTATGCCTGCTGGAGAGAGAGAGAGAGAAAAAGTAAATCACGTGATAAAACGCTGATATTCGAATTCTTTTCGCCGACCGACATTTTTTTTTTTTTTCTTGACTTCGTTTTAATTACTCAAAGTAAAAAAAACTAAAAAATAATTAATTTACTCGATGAACCGTGAAATAAAATAATAATAATAATAATAATAATAATAATAATAATAATAATAATAAATTTTTTTCCAACATAATAATTTAAAAAAAAAAAAAAACATAAATTATGTTTAAGATAAGGTAGAAAGCGTGTAATTAACCTCCTAACTATTCTAAGGCGTGATAACACAAACATGAACATAAACATTGTCATTTACCTTTCTGACATTATTATTCGGAGGTTCAGTAATACATTTTTTATAACCAATCTATCGATCAATCTATCGATCAATCTATCGATCAATCGATCGATCGATCGATGGATTGATTGATTTATCGAATTCAATATCGAATTAATAATTGATTTAATATCGATTGAATCGAACCGCCTGCCTTTTTTTTTTTTTTATATTTAAAACAATCGCCAATTTTTCTTTTCTTTTAACGTTCTATTGTTTATAGCTCGCTATAATTTTCCTTTCTTATTATTATTATTATTATTATTATCGTTTCGTAATTTATCATTGGTAAAAAATAATAATAATAATAATAATAAATCTCCCGTTTGGGGTTTTTTCTTTTTCCCCCTATGGAAATCTAAAAAAAAATTTTTCCTCAAACATGCGACAACTTTAGGAAAACTTTTCGCGACACGAAAGAAAAAACCGGAAGGGGGGCTGGGAGGTAGGTGAAGGGGGAGGGGTAGAGGAAAGAGAAAGGTGGGGAAAGAAGAAGGGGGGGGAAAAATTTTTAAAACGGGTTTTTATTACCTAACTCGTGTTAATTGGTTCGCTCACGTTTTTTTTTCTTTTTTTTCTTTTTTCGGTTATCAAAATCTCTCACCGTAAACATAAACCTGACAAAAACACGATTTAAAACAACAACAACCACAACTACAACAACAACAACAACAACCCAAAAAAAAAAAAAAATTCATTCAAACAAAAATCAAATTTTAATAAATGTTTCGTTCCGGCATTTAATAGCCATTGGAAATCAATTAAATCGAACCAACGAAGGAACAAACGAACAAACGAACGAACAAACGGACAAACACGATTCGTTTTTTTTTTAAAACCAAAAAAAAAAAAAAAAAACATTTTGATACGTCATTAATCAATATAAAAACGTTTTACAAAAACACACGAATCAATAATTTTATTTTTTTATATATAAATATTATTATTATTATTATCATCATCATTATTATTCGGGGAAAAAAAACGAACGAAAAAAAAAAAAAAAATAATAATAATAATAAAACTCGTAACCGATAATTCCTAAAAAAAAAAAAAAATTTCCAGAAAAGAAAAAAAAAAAACTCGCCGACTTTAAATTTTATTATTATTTATTTATTATCATCATCATCATCATCATCATCATCATCATCATCATCATTATTATTATTATTATTATTATTATTATTATTATTATTATTATTATTATTATTATTGTTTTAAATACGTTTTTTTTATATTTATTAAAAAATAATAATAATAATAATAATAAACGTATATAAATTAAATTGTCATAACATCACCGGGAGTTATTACTGTTATTATTGTCTTATGCCACGATAATAAAGAAGACGCAAAAAAAGTAAAAATTTTTTTTAGTTACTCTATGAAATTATTTTATTTTATTTTGTTTTTTACTCTATGCTACGATGACGCGTACGACCTATAAATTTAATTTATTGATTTTTTTCGTTTTTTTTTTTTTCGTTTTTCGAACATGTAAAATATGATTTTAAAATTTCAACCTTTTAACCTTTCAAAATTTAAAAAAGAAAGTACGTTAGAGAAAACTACTACGATGATGATAATGATAATGATAATAATAATAATAATGATAATAATAATAATTTTTACGTTCGAAAACAAATCAAAATAAAAAAAAAAAAAAATCGTGAATTGAACGGAACCATAAAATTTATATTAAAAAAAAAAAAAAAAAAAAAAAACGGATGACGGATGATCACGATCAATAAATTTTACGATTCGTTCTGGAAATGAGAAGATGGGGGAGGGAAGGAGGAAGGGGAGGGAAAGGGGAAGATTCCATATATATATATATATTGGATGCATTTGATTCGACCTTCCCCTCCTACCCCTATCCCGCCCATTTGACCTCTCTACTTATAATTCCCTAGTAATTAATAATAAAATTTTTTTTTTTTTTTTCATCCGAAACTACTTCCGTTTGCCGAATTTTTTTTTTCTATTTTTTACGACGAAAATTTTTCAAAATTCGTAAAAAACCGTTACAAAAATTTAAAAAAAAAAAAAAGAACGCCTCAAAGGTAAAAAATAATTTTTTAAAATCATTTGTCAGCAGAAAAATAAATTTTTTTTTTTTTTGACGCCGTTTAATTTATTTTTTTTATTTTTATTAATAACCCGAAGGTTTTTTTAAAAGTGAATTGAGCTTACGCCCCTGATTTCTTTTTCGAAACGCTCGTGAAATTTTTTTATTTAAAAAAAAAAAAAAAATGGCGGCGAATTTTAACTATAAACTCAAACTGCCATTCGGCAGCCATTTTGAAAATTTTTTTCCTACGATTGCCACAGCAGCCATTTTGAAAATTTTTTCCTACAACTGCCACGGCAGCCATTTTGAAAATTTTTGTCTACAACTTCCATTTGTCAGCCATTTTGAAAAACTTTTACCATTTTCGACAAACGAATAGAAAGAAAAAAAAAGAAAATTTTCGCTCGATACGAATTTTATTTTAAAAAGCTATTTTGGATTTGCTTTTATTAATTTTTGAATATCAGCAAAAAATAATAATAATAATTTTGTTTCGAAAACCGAAACCTTTTCAACGGGAAAGAATTCCTTTGTATATAAAAAAAGCATATCGTTGTTTATTTTAAGCAGACGAAATATAAAACTATTAACGAAATCCAAGCAGAAATTTTTTCTTTTTTTTTCCGTTTTAGAAATTTTATTATAAAACGTCACGAAAAAAATAAAAAATAAATAAATACGTCAAAGTTAATAACAATTTTAAAGAGAAAAAAAATTTATAAAAAGAAATTTTTTGGAATTCGATTCGATTTAAATCGATTTGATCGATTCGATTTATTTTCAATCAATCAATGTCTGCCTGTCAATCTGTTTGTCTGTTTAACGTTTGATCGCACTTTTCCCCTTCCTCCCTCCCCTTTCTTCCTCCCCTTAAAAAACGAAAATAGAAATCATATTCGATTGTTTACGTTAAGAAAATGTATTAAAAATTAACGAAACAAAAAAAAAAAAAACCCGCCAAAAATTTAAAAAAAAAAAAAAATCAAAGAAGGCGGTGAGTTCATTTTTTCTTTCTTTCTTCAATATAATAAACCCGCGAGTATAATTTTATCGTAACGTATTTAAATGTTTTCTTACGTTTCTTCAACGGTTTTTTTTTAACTTCCCAAGTTATTAACGTATTTTAATTTTTGATATGTTGTCAGCCGTGGGGGAAACGGAACAGTGGCTTCATAATTTTTTTTAATTTTTTTTCGCGCTTATAAACTTATTAATAATTATACGTTTTTTTTTTTTTTTTTTTAATGATTCATTGTTTAATTTTTTTTTTTTTGGGGGGGGAGGGGAGAAGGGGGGGAGGGCTCGAATCTAACTGTTAAAATAAAAAATTTATAAAATAAAAAACGATATCCAATCGATAAATTTTTTTTTTTTTGTTTTTCGAACCCACGATTTGTAGGATATGAATAAAAAAAAAACGGTTAAAAAAAACAAAATGGCGGAAATTTCCGACAAATTTTTTTTTATAAAAAAAGAAAATATTTAAATAAATTATCGTTAGGAATGATAACCTTTACAAAATAATAATAATAATTTTGTCATGAGAAAAAAAGTCAACCTGACGTCACGTAAAAAAAAAGCAGAAGACGAAAAAAAAAAGAATTATTACTTAAAAAGGTTTAATTTGGTTTAATTTTCGTAAACCGATTCTCTCTCTCTCTCTTTCTTTCTTTCTCTCTCTCTCTTTCTTTCTTTCTCTCTCTCTCTCTCTCTTTACCCTTTTCCAACGAGTTAAAATGACATTTTTTAAAATTATTATTATTATTATTATTAATAATAATAACAGTAATTTTACATCGTTTAAATGATTTTACATTAAATTGTTTTCGTCTGTCCAACTACCATCAATTTACGCGTAATAACTCGCGTCTCGTTTGTACAACAAACAAACAAACAAACAAAAAACTAAACGTCGCCCATCATCGTCTGTCTTTGTTTTTATTGTTTTCTTCCGGATAAAAAAATAAAAAAAAAATCGTTCGTATTGTTGCCGTAAATCTGAACACGCACCAAAAAAAAAAAAAAAAAAAAAAAAAAAACTTACCGCGTTTATTCCAAACGGAATAATTAAAATCGTGTCGTGGAACGGAAGTACGATTAAACCAAACATTCTGGTGCCACGTTAAATTTTCATTTTTCCATTTTTTACTACCACTTTCGTTTTGATTATAATTAGGATATTTATTATAACGATTATGAAATCTTTTCGGCGGAGGTGCTAATATGTATATTTTACCAATTTCCGGTTTACGAGTCGTCGACGTCGACGTAGTCGAAGGGAAACGACTCCGCGTCGTCGTCGTCGCGTAATCATTATAATAATTTTTCCTTGGATTTTTCCTACGGTGTAAATAATTATTATAATATTGTATTTCCGGCGTGAAATTACCATTCCCTCTCACTATCGTTTTCATCCATATTTTAGGATTTTTACTATTATTATTATTTTTAGATTTGATTATTGCACTATTACGTTCTTCCGGTATTATTATTTTTTCACCGCCATCGTAAAACGATTTCCGTTCGTTTCGTACTTTATTTCCACGACGACTCACGTTATCATATCTCGATTCGTCATCGATAACGTATTCTGATAAAAAATATTTTTTATCTTTTATCCTTTTTATTATCATCCGCCTCCCTGTTTTTTTCCTTTTGTGCAAAGTCGAATAATTCGATTGGTAACCCTGATTTTTTTCTAAATCTTTTATTGCACTTTTTATTCCGTTTGACGATGACGATGACGATGACGTCGACGTCATCGTCGACATCGTCACGTTTTTTAACGGATCCGATTTTTTTTTTCGTACGACGACGACGTCGTCATCGTCGTCGTCGTCGTCGTCCTCCTCGTAATTATCATCATCATCATTATCATCATTTAAGTAATTTCTTCCCGTAAAAATGGTAACGACTCGTTTGTCGCCATCGTTGTTGTTCTTGTTCTTGTTTTCCCCGATGACATTTTTATCATTTTTACTATCATAACTCCATGTCGCGCTAACGAATATCGTTAGTATTATTATTATTATTATTATTAATAGGGTTGAAGCCTTGATTTTGGTATTTTCGTAGTAGGCCGGAATTTTACGTGGATTCGTATCGGGTAACCGAATTATATTCGCCATTACATTCCAACATCGTTCCGCTTGAAATTTTTAAACTTTTCCTTCCTTTTTCTTCCTTACCACCACCACTACCACTTCCAAACTTTTTTTTTTTTATTAAAACACTATTTTAAATGTCCCGCATCTATTTCACCAAACAAAAAAATAATAATAATAATAATTTTATCGAAAATCACCCCCGAACGATTTTTTTAAACAATCAAAATAAGAAGAAGAAGCTTTCGTTTTAAATTTTAAAAGCAGACTAAACAGTTATGGAGGTTAAAATCGATTTAGGCAAAGTAACAACGACAACAACAACAACAACAACCACTCAAACAAACAATATTTCGAGTACTCAGTATTTTTTTTTAAAATGAATAATCAACCGTTTGTTGTTCGTTTTATATATAAAACGTAAATAAAAAATGGATTAATGCATAAATATATATATATATACGTGGGATCTCTATTATTATTATTATTATTTTATCAATAGTAAACGTAAATAATAATAATAATAATGATAATAATAATAATAAAATTCAATTTTTTTTTAAAATACTCCGATATTCATCATCATCATCATCCATTTAAATTTTTTGTTTAAATATTTACAATTTACTCTTACTCGTATATTATTATTATTATTATTATTATTCAATCATTTTAAAAACTCCCTCACCGATGAATTTAATTATTATTAAATAAAAAGAGAAAAAAAAAACCATCTCTTTCTACTTCCACGTTCATCAAATAATAATTATTTATTTATTTATTCTTTTTTCTTTAATAAAAAAAAAAATTTTTTTTTTTTATCATCATTATCATTAAGATCGATAATGACGTAGACGAATAAATAAAATTGGCTAGACGTGACGCAATCACACCGCCTTCTATTATTATTATTTATTTATTTATTTTCCCCTCTCTCCCCGCCCCCTTCGTCTCGCGTAAACGAAATTAAACGAATCGTCGTCTGCTTTTGAATAATAATAACACGGAATGTTTCTCCGGTGAAAATAAATTTTAGTTAAATTATAGATTAATAATTTTTCGTCGTTAATTTACGTTTGGTATTGTTTCAAAAAAAAAAAAATTTTTGGCGCGATTACGAAACATTTAAAAAAAATTTTGGCGCGATTACGAAAGATTCAAAAAAAAAAAAAAAATTTTTTTAGTACGAGGAAGAAAAGGGAGGGAGGAACGGGGAGAAGAGAGGAAGGGAGAGAAATTACCGGAAACGGAAACTCTAAAACGAGTTTGAAAAGAAAAAAAAAATTTAAATAATAATAATAATTTTTAGGTGGGGGTCAAAGATCAAGGTCGTCGAGTTTTCGATTTAAAATGAAAACGATATTTTTTTCTTTTTTTTTTTTTGCTCTTTGTCAACTAACTACCTGTAACAACATTCAATATTTAAAAAAAACGATGATAATAAATTAATTATTTATAGCAAAAAATTCTACACGTTTTTCTTAACGAGAGCAAAGCAAAAAAAAATTTTTTTTTTTTAAACACGTTTTACGACCGAAATTCTTTCTTTCCTTCCTTTCCCCGATGTGTGTTTGTTTGTTTTTCTACGCGCTTAATAATAATAATTTTTTTTTTTTGGAATGTTTATGATATTGACAGAATTTAAAATTTTTTCGTATATGAGACGAACAAACAAACAAACAAACAAACAAAAAAATTGTAAATCATAAACGCAGCATTCCTAACAACAAACAAAAAAAAAAAAAAAAATTTAATCAAGATTTTTCTTTTTTTCTTTTATGTTCCTATTAATGAGTTTAATTAATTTAAATTTTATTTATTTATTTATCGAAAAATAAAAAATAAAAAATCCGGTTTGAATGAATGTTGCTGATAAGAGATAAAAGAGATATGTGATAACGTATCATTTCCCAAATCATTTGGAATGTCTGATGAAGTATAAATTAGAAAAAAAAAAAAAAAGACGATGATCGAGAGAGAGAGAGAGAGAGAGAGAGAGAGAGAGAGAGAGAAAGAGAAAGAGAGAGAGAGAGAGAGTGCGTGAATGCGTGCGTTTAAATACTGCACCTTCGAACGAAGACCCCCCTTCCCTCCAATCGTTCTCCCACAGAAAAAAAAAACGAGAAAATTTTTTTAAAAACAATCATTAAATTAAATGACAAAACAACAAACGAACAAACAAACAAACAAAAAAATTATCGGAAAGATTCACCAAAACGAAAACAAAAACTCGTACGAGCTTTTTATGGTAACCTCAACACCAAATAAAAAAATTTTTTTTTTTTTTTTTGCTTTTATTATAATTAAAACAAACGAGAGAGAGGTGGGGGAGGGAAAGAGAGGGAGGGGAGACGTACGGGGAGGAAGTTGGATGGGGGGAAGAAACGAAATCATATATAGGAGCACACAACTTTACTACTCTATATATGGTAAGTTGACGTAAGTAAATTAAATTTTTCACTTAAACAAAAGTACATTTGTTAATATCAAATAATATGATAAAAAAAAAATACACGTTTGTACGACAAACGCAACAATCGAACATATATATATATAGACGTAAATGTGATCCGTGGGTGGTCAGTAACAACCCGACACACACACAACAAACTGTCTTTTTTTTCTAACGTAATTAATGAACGAACAAACAAATATTTCATATGACAGTTTATCATTATTATTATTATTATTATTATTATTATTATTAAAAAACAAAATAATAATTTTTTATTATTATTATGATGATGATGATGATAATAAAACACGTGACGCGAATGTAAAAGATGGCAAAGAGAGAAAGAGAAATTTTTTTTTTTTCGTTTTGGAAGAAGACTGGACAGATTAAATTGAAAAAAAAAAAAAAAAAGATTTCACGTGTGATTACACACAAAACAAACAAACAAACAAACAAACAAACGAACGAACGAAAAATAATTTTTTTTTTTTTTTTCGGGGGAACCCAAATTGAAAAAAAGCCAAAAAAAAAAACGAACGTTTAAAATTAAATGGATGAATTGTAAATAAATTTGTTGTTTTTTAATTTTTAATTTTTCATAAAAATCATATACGATAAACGTTACGTGAATTCTACAAACGAACAAACAAACAAACAAACAAACAAACGTTTCAAACACCGTTTTTCCCTCATTTACAGTCATTTCCTATCATTTTTATTTAAATAAAATAAATTTAAAAAAAAAAAAAACAATCGAATAATTATTAATTCATTAATTAATTAAAACAACCCTTCGATAATATTTTATTTATTCCTTTGACAAAACAAACAAACAAACAAACAAACAAACAAATTTAACAAACGTTTCCCTTACAGTCATTTCCTATCATTTTTATTTAAGTAAATTTAAAAAAAAAAACAATCGTATACACGTTAAAACAACCCTTTTAAATAATATTTTATTTAAATCCTTTTTGACAAAACAAACAAACAAACAAACGAACAAACGAAAAAAATTATTATTTATTTTATTTTATTTTGCCAAACCGAATAAAAAAAAAAAAAAAAAAAAAACTTATCAAACGAGTTTTGTAACATCTATCTATCCATCTCGTAAAATATTATTAAAATATATTATCTATACACACACATATTCATGTTTTCTCTTGTTTGTTTTGTTTGTTTGTTTGTTGTGTTTGTTTGTTTGTTTCTTTATGTTGAATATAAAATAAAAAATAATAAAAGACGAAACGAATTGTTTACGGAATTGCAAAAAAAAAAATTTTCATTTTTCTACCTTTCGACAAAAACCATTTTTTTTTTTTTTTTCAAATTGTGGTAAAATTGATTATAAATAATTCGAGATTGAGAAGGAGTGCCAACCGAACCGACGCAAACGCGTTAAATATTTTTTTTTTTTTTAATTTAAAAATATGCGTAATGAATTACACACGTGTCATCAACACGTGAAATGATGAAGTATTTTAAGTACCCGGTTATAAATAACTATTATTAATAAGAGAAAAGAAATAATTTTTTTTTTTTTGTACAAACGAATAATAATAATACTAATACTAATAATAATAATAATGATAATGATAATGATAATGATAATAATTAAAAAAAATTCGACCATCGAACGTGAGAACGTCAAAGAAAAAGAAAAAACGGATATACGAATTCGTATACGTTCGTCGTTTGTACTCGTAAAATTTAACGTCTAATGAAAACCCCGGGGAAGGAGGAAAGGGCAAACAAACAAACAAACAAACGCGTGGGATAATTGCTTAATTACAAAGACAGCGTCCTGGAAAGGACGTAATAAAATAAAATAAAATCTTTTTCCTTAATAAATAAATACATAAATCATTCTATCAAAACAAAAACAACAACCACGTGTCGTTTGTCGAAGAATGTAAATTTTTTTTTTTTTTGTAATTCGGCATGCCGCAAACAAACAAACAAACAAAAAACTTTTTGTTAAAAACTATACAAACGTCTCAAAAATTGTTGTAACAAAAAAAATTATAAGTGAAACGTTTCACGAATGATGGCCGAAATTTGGAATGCAGACATTTTGAATGTTGTACAACAAAAAAAAAAAAAAAAAAATTTAAAACCTGTTTTCAATTTTTTTCTCCCTTTTTTGACTGATCCAATAATTTTCATTTATCATTATTATTATTATTATTATTATTATTAT